AACTTGAATGAATAATCTCAATAGTTGTTTCACAAAGTTTTTGTGATTTTTTTAAATCTATTTAAAAGATGCGAATTTGCTTGCAATATATACATAGTTTAGCATAAAGTCGGAGAAAACAGAGCATGAAGGAAATGACTTCTTATATTGTAATCTCGCGAGCAGGTGAAAACTCCGAGTGATAGAGACCATATCTATAACCTTCTTTCCAGCGGCACACTCTTGATAACCTTGTCCTTCATACAGCATTCATCAAAATCATCCGTAACATGCGTTTTGTTTACTGTGGTTAGTTTATATTTTATGTTTACCTTATTGTTGTACTAAGTAAATAACAAGAGATAAATGTGAGTGGGTAAAAAACAGTGTTAAAAGATGAATTATATACCAAATCATAAAAACCAAATTAGATCAAATTGAAAGGAAGTCTCAACCATTAAAGCTAAACTAAAACCTTTAAACTTACAGGGATTAAATTGAAAAAGTCAACTAAAGTAATAATTTAACTATAAATAAACTATTGCATAAATTTCCTTCTCTTGGTTAGAATTATGGATATTTTGTAGATATTAGATCTTTCATAGAAAACGGAAATGAATAATCTATCGAGTTAAGTTTTTAAATTTAGTAGAGATTTGAATACAATGTCATTGAGTTCCGTGGGAGAATGGTGTAGTGGCAAAGACATGCATTGGCCTTGTTGATATCACCTACCGTGAAGTCAAGTATTCAAACTCTATGTTGGTCACACAGTATTGCTCGGCCCAAACAATGAGCCCTAATTATAGGGACGATCCTAACTAGCATACGCCACAATATGACATTGATTCCGAGAAATAAAAAAAAATATGATGTCATTGCCCTCTTGTTCCAATTTAGTTTTAAATCTTCTTTATGTTCCATAACTTTCTTATTTATTTTGTTTTAGTCCCTAAATTTTTAAATGTTCTATTTTCGTCCCTCTACTTTTAACATAATAAGTATTTTACCTAGTCTGTAAACTTTGCATAAAAAATTATTGGAAAATGTTTTTTAATTTAGTATCTAACATTTAGAAAGTTTCTATTTAATCACTTGTATTTTAACATTTTTCAGTTATATTATTTACTTCGGTAAATATATATTATTACAAAGAACTTACATGATAATACAGACAGAAATTTAGATGAGAAATTAGGGCCCACATAAATATAGAAGAAAAGTTGAAAATTTTGTTACTTCTTATAAATTTGAAGAAACATTCATATCTCTTAGCTTGGATGCCCAATTACTAGTTGTCAATTCAGTGACTATCATTCCATATACAAGTTTAATAATCAGCCAACTTCAACGTTTATTGATCGATAGGAATGATATAATTGAGAGGTAAAACATTAAAGATTACGTTTAAAAAATACTATATCACTACAAGAAACAGAGTTTTCAGCGACAAACTTTTAGAGACATATTAACAACAATGTCACTAAAATGAGCTTTTAGCGACATCGTCAACATGTGATGTCGCTGAATCTCCTTTTCAGCGACGACGTCAACTGACGGCGTCACTGAAAACAGTTTCAGCGACACATAAGTGGGATTTGTCGCTGAAAATGTAATTTTATCCCGAATAAAACCCACTTCCGAATTTTACAATTCATTTTCAGCGACACCGTCAACCAAATGTCGCTGAAAGTGCATTTTTAGCGACGCCATTAGGTAAATGTCGCTGAAAAAGCACTTTCAGCGACACATAAGTTGTATGTGTCGTTGA